AACACTCAAATTTGAATCTACACCACCTTAACTTTAATAACATACATAAACTCTGCTCCCTTACAGTTCCATCTTCATCCCTTTGGTTGCTGATGTCACAAACTTAGGTCTCCATACACTGTGTGCCCTAAAACATAAACTAAAAATTCTTTTAAATGTATTAGTCTCTTAAATCATGTAGAAAAGAGTATAGTTACAAACCAGTGATACATTTTTACTAGCTTTTAAAATTGCCCATATTATACCTTTATTGAGATTTTTACTCTGTCATAGGGCTTTAAGTTACTGTCTGATTTCCTTTCGTTTCACTGTGCAGGACTCCCCTGAGCATTTCTGGCAAGGCAGGTCTCATGGAACAAACTCCTTCACTTTTGTTCATCGGGGTTTTTTTTTTTTTTTTTTTTTGGTTCATAGAAGCTTTATTCATAATAGCCAAAAACTGGAAATAATCAAAATGCCCTACAATGGGTGGATAGCTGCAGAAACTGTGGTACATAAATACCAGGGAATACAATTCCTTAATAAAAAGGAACTGCTACATACAACAACTTGGATGGATCTCAAGGAAGTTATGCTGAGTGGGGGAGAATCCCCAAAAGGCATTACCTGTATGATTCCATTTAAAATGATAAAATTATAGAGCTGGAGAAGAGATTAGTGATTGCCAGGGCTTAGGGATTGGAGGGGAGCGGTGTCCATAGAAGGCTAAATGTTAATTATAAAAGGACAGCATGATGGAGAACTTTCTGGTGATGAAATAGTTTTGTATCCTGACTATAGTGGTGGTTACACATGATAAAATGGTACAGTATTACACCCAGCCATCAGGGAATGTCTTATCTTCTCCCTCACTTTTAAAAGACAGTTTTGCCAGATACGGAATTCTTGGTTAACAGTTTTTTTCTCTGAGCACTTCGACTATATCAGCCCACTGTCTTCTGACCACCAAAGTTTGTAATGAGAAATCTGCTGATAATCTTATTGAAGATCCTCTGTATGTAATGATTTGCTTCTCTCTTGCAGCTTTTAAAATTCTCTGGCTTTGGCTTTTGATTATCCCGTGATAGTTCGATTATAATTATGTCTCAGTGTGGGGTTCTTTGATTTCCTCTTACTTGGAGTTCCTTGAGCTTCTTGGATGTTTATATTCATGTCTTTCATCCAATTTTGGAACTTTCATCCATTATTCTTCAAATCTTCTCTCTGCCCCCTTTTCTCTTCTCCTTCTGGGACTCCTATGATGCATATATTAGTCTTCTTGATGATGTCCCACTAATTCCTTAGGGTCTGTTCGCTTTTTTCAATCTTTTTCTTTCTGTTCTTCAGCCTTGATAGTTTCCATTGTCCTATCTTCAAGATCACTGATTCTTTCTTCTCCCTGCTCAGATCAGCCTTTGAATCCCTTTAGTGAATTTTTCATTTCCCTACTCCATTGTGTATTGTCTTTGTTTATATGAATCTTGTGGGCTGTCTCTGTGTTGAGAATCATCCTGCAGTGTAAACTTGGGTCTTTTCTGAGACTTTCCTTGGGCATGCATGGTCACTAATTTTTCCCATATATGTTGTTGTTTTTGCATGTCCTTGGTCTTTAAGGTCTGGCTCTCCAAGGGGGAAAAAGCAAAAAATGAAGGGAGGAAAAAGCACTGCCCCTTTAATCCCCTGGAAGTCAAGTGGGGGGTGAGGAGGTGGCTTGCAACAGTGAGGGGAGATGAAACAATGGCCGTCTGCCTATTTGTCTGTACCTCTGTGGTCAGAAGCGCCAATCAGGGATCAGGGCACAGATCTCCAACATTTGGAGGACAAGGTCCTTTTTTGCCCACCCTAGTTCCAACAGGCTGTGTGCTAGTTGCTCCAGAAAATCTGAACAGCTGCCTGCCACATGGCTGGGAGTCATGGCTGGGTAAGTGTTACTATGCTTAGAGCTAAAACGGGTGGAAATTAACCACAATTACTGTCCAAGCCTTCCCCTGGAAATTGCAAGCTTTCAATAGACTCCAGAGTTCTAAAATGGCTGTATCAGACAGGTTCTGCCAGTGCAATCATTATCTAGTGGGGGGAGACAGATGCATGGTGCTCCTACTCTGCCATCTTTCTCTATTTCAAAATTTTTAATTTTTGTTCTTTTTGCTGCTATTTCTGCAGGAATATGGTAACTCTCTTTTGCTTGGTCTTTTGAATGATCTTTATTCCTATTTGGTGGTGTTTGCCTTTTTTTTTTCTTTAATACCAGTCTAGTAAGCTTTCTGGCTATATGTCCCCAGGTATTTATGAAGGGATCATCTTGTTACCTTTCAAAAACTTGTTATAACTTCTGCAATTCAGCCCAACAGCTCTAAGAAAATTTCATACATATAAATGTACAAAAGTACAGAGAATAGTATCATGAGTCCCCAGTTCCCATCACCAGCTTCAGCAGTGATCAACTCATAGCCAATCTCCTTTTACCTAGACCCCACCAAATTCTCCATCTTCCATGTTATTTCAAAGCAAATTCCAGGCATGTATCATTTCATCTGTAAATATGCCCATCGATATCTCTAAAAAAAAGATATGGATTCTTTAACATAATCACAATACCATCATCACATTTAGAAAAACCAGTAATCCTTAATATTAAATATCCATAATCCATAAGTGATTGGAGTTTTTAAACTTAGTTTGAATTAGAATCCAAATTAGATCATGCTCTGCAATTGGTTGTGTTGTTAAATCCCTTTTGCTCTATAGGTTTCCTCTCCATCTTGTTGTCCCCCTGCAGTCCAGTTGTTGAAGAAACCACATCACTTTTCCAGCACTGAAGTGCTCCTTAGACTCAGTGTGCACTGGAATCCCCCCTAGAATCTGTATTTCTGACAAACACACAGGTGATATGCAGGCTAGCCTGAGGATCAATGCTGAGCAGTATGTCCCTCATGATTTTGCATTCCTGTAAACTGGCGAGATCTAGTTGAGGAGAAAATATTGTGACCCAACAATTTTACATCTAAAGAGAAATAGTAGGGAAAGGGTATCTTTTTACCCCAGTTACCCTGATAAGAAATAGAACAACAATGAAAGCCCTCCACCACCACCAGCACCACCATATCCATATAGCAAAGGAGGGCAAAAGCAAAGCAGCACTGCACCAGCTGTAGGATCACACTTACCAGCTAAGGGAATGAAAGTGAAGGAAGTATTAAAAAAAAAAAAAAAAAAAAAAATCTTTAAAAAATCTTCTATAACCCAGAATACCAGTTAAAAAAAAAAAAAAAAAAAGGTTAAAACTGAATGCAATCATGTATCCTTTAAGATGAGTACCACTGACCCTAAATGTACCTGCCCCTACAAAGGGCACATGTGGTTCGAGGGAAGTTGGTCCTGACACCCAGGAAGTGCTCTCTGCTGTCATCCCAGGTGACCTGCCTGAGCCCCACCAGCACCTGGGCAGGTGGGCTGTGTGTGAGCTGCATGTGGTCTCTCTGGCCACCCACCTCAGCCCCCATCATACTCACAAGCTTCCGGTCTCGGCCCTCCACCCCAAATCCAGGGAGTGTAGCCTGGAGGGTTCCTGGGGGGGGTGGCCTGTACCCCTGTGCACGTGACAGGCCATGGGACCCACAGTGGACAAAGGAGCAGCAGCCCATGGTGCTTTGCTTAGGGTTGGGAAAATGTCAGTGGGTTCTATCAACAAATGGGGGAGGAGCCACAGAATCACCATGGGGGTGGCAGGGCCCCTCTGGGCCTCCCAGGTGGAATGACCAGATGTAGCTGCCCATACTGGGTGGACCCATGCCAGCCCTAAGAACAGGGATTCCTGCTCGGGAAATCCCAACAGATGATGGTCAGTGTCTGCCATTATTGTGAAAGATTTTTATTTAGTATTATTCTCCAAGTTTATTATTTCACTTAAAAGTTGATTGTTGGAATTCTATTTCTAAATATATGCCCAAGGGCACCTGGGTGGCTCAGTTGGTTAAGCAGCTGCCTTCGGGTCAGGTCATGATCCCAAGGTCCTGGGATGGAGTCCCGCATCGGGCTCCCTGCTCAGCGGGGAGCCTGCTTCTCCCTCTCCCTCTGCCCATCCCCCCCTGCTTGTGCGCTAAGAAATAAAATCTTTTAAAAAAATAAGTATGTCCCCAAGAGAACTGAAAACATGTCCTCACAGAAACCTGTCTATGAATGTTCACAGCAGCATAATTCCCAAGAGTCAAAAGGTAGGATTGACCATTTTTGTCCACTTAGTCGATTTCGACAAAGTACGGTCCATCTACACAGGACTGTCACACAGTCCTAAAAAAGAATGGAGTTCTGACACATGCCGTAACATGGATGGACCTTGAAAACATTCTACAGAATGAAGGAGCCAGACACAAAGGCCGCCACTGTATGGCTCCACAATTATGAAATGTCCGGGAGAGACACACAATGGGGGGAAAGGATGGGGAGTGACTACTAATGGGGACTGGGTTTCTCTGGATGATGAAAATATTCTAAAACGAGATGATAGCGATGGTTGTGTAATTGTGTAAATATCCTGACAACTACTGAACTGTACTTTTTTTTTTAAGATTTTTACTTATTTAAGAGAGAAAGAGCACAAGAGCAGGGGGAGGGGCAGAGGGAGAGGGAGAGAATCCCAAGCAGACTCCCCACTGAGCGTGGAGCCCAACACAGGGCTCGATCTTATGACCCTGAGATCATGACCTGAGCCAAAATCAAGAGTTTGATGCTTAACGGACTGAGCCACCCAGGTGCCCCCTGAATTGTGCATTTTAAAATAATTTTATAGGTGTGTGAATTATACCTCAATAAAGCTGTTACTTATTTTTTTGTAGTGTTGATTGTTAAAGATCTTAAATCTTAGTCCTGCATCTCAGCAGCATCTCTGGCCCCTGGGCACACAGACACTTTGCAGTCACGGCCCCTTAGCCCTCAGGACAGTGGCGGGGTAGTGAGGCTCAGAGAGGTGAAGTGCCCAGAGCTGCGCTGAGTGGGCAGGGCCCTGCCCATCCCCCATCCAGGGACAGGGAGGTCAACCAGCTGAAGCAGTGGGTCACCACACTGATGATGTCCATCACCAAGGAGGAGGAGATGGCCGCTGAGCTGGAGCTCAAAGCCCGAGTCTTCCACTTCGGCGAGTACAAGGGTGCTCAGGAGGTAGGCCCCCGATCAGCAGCCAGTGGGCAGCGGGCATGGAGGGAGTGCGGGTGATAAGAGCACATGTGGGAGCACCCAGTGCCCCTTACCACCTTCCAGGCTCTGTAGGCCTGACTGAGGGGCACTGGCTGGAGAAGGCCCTTGGTCCCCAAACTGGAGCCACCCTGTGTATTTATGCCCCTTGGCCGTTCAGCTGCCCAGCATACCCCCTCCATTCCCTCCTTCTTTCATTCAACAAATACGTCTGTTTCTTCAACACAAAGTGTCTGAAGGTGACCCTGCCAGGAGGAAAAAGGCATGTCCCCAAGATAGCCTGAAAGAGTGAGAGAATTCTGAGGGCACAGAGGGCCAGGAATGTTCCAGGGTGCAGTGCGCACCCTTCCTGACAGTGCCCTCGGGGCCATAGGCACGGTCCCAGCTTCCTAATTCATTCAAATTACTGTTGAGCACCTACTGTGTGCCAGGCCAGGCCAGGTACGCAGGATGCCACAACACACAGGCCGGCGCACCCACCGCCTGTCAGACAGACTCACTGGGCGCTGGCTGTGCCCCACTCCTGGCCTGAGCCTGTCTGTCTGCTGTTGCTCATGCAATCCTCATGCCCAGTCCATGTGGTAGGGAGTGTTACCTTTCTGAATGTCAGAACAGGCTCAGAAAGGGGAGTTCATCTGCCCTGGGCTGCACAGAAAGTAGTCGTGTGGGGAGCTGAGGTCAGTGCAGGGGCAAACAGGGCCCCGGAGGTGACTGGGCCCCACGGACACACCAAGGCAGCTGGGGTAGAGCCCCAGTGGTGGCTGGAACCCTGGGTCTGGCTGACCACAGGAGGGCAAGGAGAGCTCTGGCCAAGAAAAATCCAAGTGTCCAAGCTGTTTCTCCCATGCTTGCTGAGTGTGCTGGGCAGGGTTCAGGGAGGTCAGCCACGTCACGGCAAGGGCACTGGGTGTGGCAGGCTGTGGAGCAGACGGGGGGGCGGACAGAGGCCCATGTGACCCCTCTGCCGGCCTGGGCCCCTTGCAGGACAAGCTGCTGGAAAGCCTGAACCGCAAGGTGCTGGATGTGTACCAGCACTGCATCGGGACCCAGCAGGAGTCCAACCTGGGCACTGTGCAGATGCTGACCATCATCGAGCACCACCTGGATGAGCTGCTTGAGAACCTGGAGCATGTACCCCCGATCAAGATCGAGAAGGCCGAGAAGGCCAAGGAGAAGGAACGTCGCATGAGGTGAGAGCCCAGGCCCCCACCCCACCCCTCGTGGTCTAGCAGGCGCCTCACGCCTTACGCAGTAGGGAGGGCCCTGAGGGCGAGGACACACTCCACACCCCTGCTCCTGCTCGGGGCTGGCCCAGGCTGGCCCTGCGGACAGAGGTCAGATACAGACCTGTCCTCAAAGAGCTCCCAAACCAAGAAGACAGGACCCTGGTGCTCCATGCTGAGAGACAAAGCCAGGGGTCTTCCAAAGAGGGCACCAAACTTAGCCCCAGGGAGGGCAGCCCCTCTTCTGGAGTGGGAGATGATGTGGACTCAGGGAGCCCAGGAGCCAAAGTGAGGGTGAGACAGCATAGCCTCACCCCAAGGACAAGGGACATCAATGGCCATTTTCCCTGCTGGATTGGAGAGGGAGAGACTGGCACTGCCAGAGCCCAGGGGAGGGAAGATGCAGACTCAGGGAGAAGCTGAGGAAGCCCAGTTTAGTGGCAGGGGCAGGCAGGAACACTTGGCAGTGTCAGAATGCTGGACACAGGCAGCATGGACCCATCCTCCTAGCTTGGGAGGCCCAGGGAGCTCCCCACAGACCCACTGGCTCCTCTGACCTGGGGGGCTGCCCGGTTCCCTCCATGCAGGGCCCTGAGACATCTACAAAGAGCCATTTGCCTCTCCCACAAGCACAGGGGCTCTTCCTCTGTGTCGCCTGTCCTACACCCGCTGGGAGCAGGCACTGGGCAAAGGTTTGATGACCAGAAGCATACACAGGGCGACCAGTGACCAGGGATGGGTACCAAGGAACGTGGGCCTCCAAGGGGTAGGAACCCCCAAAAACAAGAGCAGAAGCCAACCTGGCCTGGCAGGGAAGGGTGGAGAGGAGAGGGGAGTTTTCTCCTAGAGGGAGGGCCATGGCCTGACTGCCGGCTGCACGTGAGGAGCTGGGAAGGGGATCTGGGAGCTTCCCTGGGTACCTCCAGTCTTTAATCCGTCTTGTGCTGCCCCTGGCACCCAGACTCAGGGAAGAGAAGGTCATGATGCAGAAGCGGCTGCAGGAGGAGCGTCTGCAGCGGGCCCAAGCCCGGGCCCAGGCTGAGATCAAGAAGAAGGTGGGTAGGGTGGCCCCGAGGAGTCACTGCTGGGGAAGGGCCCCATGACCAGGCACAGTGGGGCTGGGAGGGCCTGGGGGCCTGCAGCCAAGCCTGGCTCACCCCCCTTGCAGGTGCTAATTGCTGAGGTGCTGGCGGAAAGAAAGATGGGGCCATCCGAGTAAGGCCAGGATAGAGCAGGGTCTCCCGTTCCTGGCCCACCAGCCCTGCTGCCCCTCAGGACCTGCTTCCTCTGCTAGTCCTCCCCTGAGGCTGCCTGCCCTCCTGCACACGCACTCCCGGTGGGTGACTGGCCGGGCTAGCACCCTCCCAGCTCTACCCAGTTACAGCTCAGCCCCCACAGGGTCCCACCATACCACTGACACCCCAGCCAGACCCCATCACTCTGGCTCATCACCCATCACTAGAGCTCCCCTTGACTGCCCCCCAGGGAACAGGCTAGAACAGCCACTTCCTTCTGGCCTTGGCAGCAGGAGGTGTGCTCCCTAAAGCAGGCCCAAGCCCGGACACAGCCCCCGGCAGACAGATGAGACTGCGGGGCTGCTCTCTGAATAGAGTAGCGCTCTCCACGCCGTCCCACGGGGACGGCACACACTGTGGGGTCTCCCCTTAAATTCCCAGAACAAAGGAAGTGGGCTCCCTTTGTTTAGCCGGGTACTTCCCCATGTTTCCAGCTGTGCCCCACAACACACATACATCTAGGGACCCACAGCACAGGGAACAGGCTCTGGCAATGCTGGGGAGACTCCCTCCCGAGTCATTTCGGGGCAGCTCTAGCCCTGAGCCCACGGGCTGACCGGGGAGGCTGGGACGTCCCCGGGGCCCCACAGCCCCAGCTCACCAGCTTCCAGGCACAGCTCACAGAGTCCACCTGCTCTGCAGAGGGGCAGGAGACTGCTGAGTCGCTCCCGGCCCCCAGCTCTCAAAGCGAAGGAGGAGCCTGAGCACGTGGTGATGGGTAAGGACAAGGAGGAGGAGCTGCTGTTCTTCACCTAGGCTCCCGGCGCCGAGGACAACAGCAGGAAGCAGGGGCAGGGTGGGCTGGCCTGTGGCGGCTGTCACCATGTCCCCGTGCCCCTCCCGGCCTCCCACTGTACATTTCCGTACTCGCATGAAATAAACTCCCCCTCACTGGTGGCCCATGGCCTGTTTAAGGAGGCAGGCTGGTTCCAATATCCGCACCCTGCCCTCTAATCCCTGAACCCCAAGGCCATGCTCAAGGAAGGAGCTCATCCTGGCCCTCAGGTAAGGTGGCTGCTTTGAGACACAAAGGCCAATTCCACAAGAAAAGGAGGCAGCAAGCTATAGGCGGATGAGAGAGTTCTCACTACTGACTGAAGACAAAACATGACGCCCACACTACACACACACTTCCGTGACATAAAGCCAAGCGACACCGTCAGCACATGACTATACAAAAACTTTTATTCATTTGTACTACAAGTTGGGCCCACTGCCACTAGGGAACCCAGTGCCCAGAAAACTGACAGCCAGTACCAATGACATCATGGTGGTGGACACTCCCAGGGACGTTCTGAGGAAAGTTCCAGTGACCCACCCTGGAGAGATTGTTCCCTGGCCCGGCCCCTCCTCCCATCAGAAGGACAGTGCAGTGTGGCCACCAGGCCACCCGGGCCCCAAGGTCACCCTGGCAGGCAGGCTGGCTCCTGGTGGAGGGAGGCTGGGAGACCTGGAGGCTGAGGGGCCAGGTGGACACAAAACTTTAGTCTGTGACGTAGCACAGAGTTCTGTGGGTAAAAACTGTTTATAAATGGGGACCAAGTTCCTCTCGGTAGAGAAGCACCCTGGATAGACAGCACCTCAGGGCAGGAAAGAGAGAGGACTCACCACCGAATGCTGGGGTCATTTCCAAAAGCCGAAGGCCAAAAACTCAAGAAATGAAGAAACACAGAACAGGCAGAGTTTGGACAATTCCAAGTCCAAGAACCAAAACAGCATCTGAATCAACATAAGCCTCAAAGGCACAAGGCTAAAAAGAGCATTTCTGAGTGGCCCCATGGCCAATCTCGCTAACAAATAAACACGTGCAAGGTTATCAGCTCGCCCCTGTGCAGGACAGACCGCGCTGTGTGAAAACATACGGTGACACACAGTACATGCACACCTGCGGCCTCGACAAGCATATACAAGCCCCTCTCACTGTCCTACACATAACAGAGCACTCAGGCCATGACTTTAGGAACCAAATTATTATTTAACATGAACGCCCAAATACAGAATTAGAAAAATGTAAAGTTTTACCTCTAGCATCCCCAAATTAGGAGCTTTAAATTTGGCCTCTCTGTGGAGGGCTCGCTAACAGGGCCCCAGTGTCCCCTTCTACACCCCCATCTCCTTCCCCTCATACGAGCTGCCCGCCTGCTCTGCCAAGACAGGGATTCGAATTTGGCTTCACTATGACAACGGGATCACTTCTGCCCTATGGGGTGACAGAATCAGCCCAACCACAACCACCACCCAAGGGGCTGGGAAACAGCTCTCAGAAAGGGGAAACAGTTTCTGGATCTCTCTCAGGCCAAATGCTAAAACACAGAAAGTGAAAGATCCCATTTGCTTTTACTACAGTTGAAGTCCTATTTGGCTAAGGAATCCATACTCTACCCTACTTCCAGCCTAAGTCTGTTTTTCTAATACAGCAGGGGCTCCATGGCTTAGATCAAATGGGACAAGGGGTGTCTGCGCACGGCCAAGTCCAGGAAAGGCCTGTGCTTTGCCCTGAGGGCAGTCCTTGCCTCAGTTCGTGTAAGGCGATTTCAACGAATACTGCCCCAAACTGGTTCCTGATAAAGTGTAAGAAAAACATTTTTGAGAAACATGCCCCAAAGTCTCCGAGGAACTCAGCCTCCTGAGCTTAAACCCAGTGGGGTCCTCCCCAGGCCTATAAGACCACGTAACAGAGTCCGGGGGCCACAGACTGTCCCCGGGGCAGAGGGTCGCTGTCACTGCAGGTCCCGAAGGTTGATGGTGCTCCCTGCACACTGCACCTCCTCAGGCCCAGCAGCCCCTCCAGCTGCAGGAAGCACCTCCTGAAAAACCAAGCAGAGTCGTGAGCGGGAGAGCTGGGGGCTCGGGCGGCGCAGGACCACCTCCCAGAAGGCAGTGGCTGCGGCCGCACACACCAGCGTCATAACCCGCAGGGCACCTCTCACTTTCCTAAAGCGAACTTGTTTTCCCCTTATTTTCACATATGTTCCTTGAAGAAAGAAACTTTCGTATAAACAAAAAGAAGGCAAAGTGAACTCAATGATACTGTGTTGCAGGTCTCCTCAGAAATGTGACTGTCCTTGTTTAATTCATAACCCTTTCCCCACTCGGTATGAGGAAGCGCCTTTCCCAGTTCCTGACTGCCTGTGGGCATCATCAACGGCTACACCACCGCCCACCTAAGCCACCTCCTCCTGCTAGAAGAACACCCCCACAGCATTAGATTCAAGGCGATGGCGAACATTTTTTGGCCAGTTATTTGTACACTACCAGATTTCTTTAAGAACGATCTCATGAGTGGGAATACCAGGCAGAACGGAGTCAACATCCGTGAGGTTTTCTGAATGCACGTTCCCAAACTGCATTTGAAGGAACCCCCACTCCAGCCATTCTGTGAGCCCCACCTACCCCTCTGTCTACCAGCACTTTTACTTGATATTTATTTTTGACGTTTTAAGGAAAACGTTAAACAGCCTAATTTGAATACAAGAAAACTAAAATTACTATGTGTAGGGATTTAAAAAAAATATATGCAAGGCTGAACTGTTAGAAATTTGATAAGCTACCTACTTTATTATTTTATAGCCAAATCTAAATTACCCATTGCCACCTATATTTGGTTTATTGCTTACTTAAGCAAACTAAATTTCCTGAGTCTGTTTTCCCATAGGTTAAAAACTTGGCTGGCCTAGGGGCGCCTGGGTGGCACAGTTAAGCATCCGACTCTTGGTTTTGACTCAGGTCTGATCTCAGGGTTGTGAGACTGAGCCCTGTGTTGGGCTCTGCGATCAGTGCAGAGTCTTCTTGGGTTTCTCTGCCTCTCCCTCTCCCTCTGCCCCTGCCTCCTGCCCCAAATAAATAAATAAATCTTTAAAAACAAAAACTGGCCAGCCTATTACCCACAGGAGAAAGTGACTAGAATTTTTTTTTATATATTTCAAAGCGCATTTTATTTTTTAGAGATTTTGCTTATTTGTCAGACAGCACAAGCAGCGGGGAGCGGCAGAGGGAGAGGAAGAAGCAGGCTCCCCACTGAGCAGGGAGCCTGATGTGGGACTCAAGCCCAGGACCCTGAGATCACGACCTGAGCTGAAGGCAGACACTTAACTGACTGAACCACCCAGGTGTCCTGTGACTAGAATTTCTAAATATAAAATATTTGAAGAGTGTATTAAATTTCACCTGATTCACAAGTAGGAGCTACAATGGGGGGCAAATCTGAGCTTTATTCTTGGTCTTTTATTTCCGGGTCATTTACCCAAAACCTTTTCTAGAAAGCAGCAAAACATCCTGGCAACCAACCCAATGAGTCTCCACTTGAGCCCCACCTCAGTGACAAGCCTCAGCAAGCCAAAAGCATCATGACAGTCCTACTAACAAACCCAAAGAGCTGTAAGGCATCCAGACCTGGAGGACATAGACGGGCAAATCGACAGCCAACACGGGGTGAAGGGCAGAAGGCTGCGGGCTGAGAACCAATGGCGAGGCTGCTTCACCTGAGGGGTCATCCTGGGGAGGCAATGGCATGTTTCATTTACCAAGCACAGCAACATTCCTCACCTTGGCCTGAGGAGTACCCGTCACTCTGAAACACACCCCCTGGATTCCAGGCGAGGCCACACAGGGAGCCAGGTGGGGCCTGAGGACCCAGCAGTCACTGGAATCAGGGGCTGGGGGCTGTTTACCCCTCCTCCTGGTCCTCAGACTCTCACTTTGTTCCTAGCTTGAGGCCCACACCACCTGCCATCTGGCTGCTCCCCACTCCCAGGCCCTTTCCCTAGAACTCCCCCACACACAATAACCTCCCCTCAGCCTAGGCCCCAATTTCCCTCCTGTAGACTGTTCCTAAACTCTGGCAGAGGCTCCCGGTGCCCTCGTTGAGGGCCCTCCGGCTCTCCAGTGGCCACCTCACGGCGCACGAGAAAGCCCACCTCTGCCCCAACCCATGGTCAAGCTGGAAGGGACAAGAGATCACAGGTCTCTGGAGAGGGGAAGGCTCCTAGGCCCCTGATAATCATGCAAGAAAAGGGACGCCATTGAACACTTCAGCTTTCATCTGCACACCCAGCCCATGGTGGCTCACAGCGACCACTCAACTCCTGGTACCACCACCAGCATCAGCATCACCCATCCCTTCCCCAGCCTCAAGAAGCTTCTGTGCTGAGCACTATCATTCCCACTTCATAGACAATAAAACTGAGGCCCAGAGTACTTAAGTAACTTGCCCAAGACAATACTAACTGGTCAGGGAAAGGTAGAGAATTAAAAACGAGTTTTCTCCACCTCAAGGTTCACACCTTCAATTAAATAGCAGCTTCTCTCTTTCCGATGAGCACCTTTTCTGCACAGGTACCAGCTTCCTTGACGGGCCCATGTTAGAACCTCCAGTCCTGCCTTCCCCACGTCTCGCCTACCGGCTGTGACCATGTTCAGAAGGGCTCTGCTGCCCTTTCCCCTACCTCCACAAGCCCCCATCTTGGGAGAGCCCTGACCTCTTTACTGGAAGAGACCTGTTTTCCTGCTCACCTCTGCAGACCAGTCTCCCTAGGTCCCACCCCCACCAAATGCTCACATTAGCTTCTTGTTTTCTGTAAGAGCAAGGCTGCTCACTGGCCCCATCTTCCTGGCCCTCCCCAAGCCCTTCCACCCAGGCCCTCCCCACCCCTTTCAGACTCTTCACAGCCAGCTCGGTCCTGTCTCCTCGATGAGGCGTTCCCAGCACTACAGACCCCAAGGATCTGGCCACCCTCCTCTTCAGAGTCAGCTTGGCACTCAGAAGTCCTTGGATATCTCTGTGCCTTCCCAGGTACACGGTACTCTATGGCCCCAGGAGATGCTCAGGGAAGAGGTGGCATGTGATCAGGCCAGGTCAGAGCTACATATCCTCAGCTTCTACACCTCTTCTCTCCCCAAACAGTCCCAATTTATTATCCCTTTTCCGGCCCCTCAAAAATGAGACTACAAACAAAAGCACACACAGAGCTGTGGTCAATGTGTCTGGTGAGCGAGCTCATGGACTGGCTGCCAGCTGCAGGCACCTGCTAAGCCCCGGGGAACAGTCTAGGAGGTGGCTGGCCTGCCTGCGAGGGGCTCATCTTGTAGGGAAGAAGGGCGGGGGGAGCCAGCATCTTTAACACATAAAGGCTATATCCCCGGCTGCACTGAGAGCACTCCCCAGACCCAGGACTTCCAGGCCGTGTGAGCAAGCCCTATCACCCCTGCCCTGAAACGAGCCCTGGGGTCCAGGGAGGGGCGGGGCCATCCGAGGCATCCCGTGGCTCACCGTGGGCAATCTGAACAGCCTGAGGCTGGAGCAGAGCCCGGCACCTCCACTCCACGGGGCACCAGACACAGGGGGCATGGGGACACGGAAGCGTCAATCGTAGTAAAGACGAAAGCTTGGACAAATAGAGTGGGACAGGGTGGGAGGAAGGGAGGAGCTGGGGTGACAGAGACATCATCCCGGACTTGGGATGGTCAGAAGCAGGTTGGGGGGCAGTTCCCAAGAGGAAGGAGTAATGGAGGGGTGGAGGCTCAGGCACACACGGCCCAAGGCCTAGCCCCCGGCTCCCGCCCCATGACCAGCGTCCTTTGGGCTTGCTGGCTCTTACCTGCAGTAGCTGGACCTGAACGCACTGCACGTTGGCCGCCGGAGCTGGTCCTGGCAGACCTCCGCTGGGCGCCACAAGGTTCCCACACAACCAGCCAGTCTGGCTTGTGTGGAAGTGAGTAGGACTGACCTTGCCATCTTTCATTTTCCTTTGAGTGGACCCCGAGGCTCCTGCGATGAAACAGACAAACCAACACATGCCGTGTACCGTGCCTCACTGAGGCCACACTCGGGGGACACAGCCTCCCCGTAGTCACTGTTACAGCCCTGCAGACTTCAAACTAGTCAACAGGGAGAGTCACGGGCTTAAGAGGTGGAAAAAACAAAGAGTTTGATTAGAAAGCGTAGCAAACTTACCTACGTGTCTTCTGGACATTCAGCGATCAGACCCCAGGTGCCCATTTCACGGGGGCAGAGGCTCCTGCTTACCCTGCAACCCCAAGAACCGCAGGCACACAGGAGATCCCCAACACCATGGAGCACAACTACCAGGCAGAGCTGCACAGTCATAGAAAAGGAACAAGGGAAGGAAGCCGGCCATCACATCCCACCCTCGGGCCCCTCGGCATGTGCTTAAATAAGCTGCCAAATCCTTCAGGCTGTTTTCTGTCCAGCTTCCTCTTCAAAAGTCATCACTTCGTTGATTTCATAAAAATATGCTTTCTAAAATATTGAAGTACAAAGAAGAAACAATCTGGACACCCAGAAAGGGTTTCTCTGACAGTCGCGTGGTTTGTGAGCAGCACGAAATCCCAAAGACCAGTGGCCTGGATTCAGATCCTGGCTCCACCCCTGACTCTGCTACCTGACCTTGGACAAGCAATTGAAGTTCTGGCCTCAGTGTTCCCTACCTGTGAAATGGGAACAATACTCCCTACCTCAAAGTTTTGGAAGGATTAAGTAGATATGTAACGCAAGTTTAGAACAGTGCCTGGGTCCCAGTAAGTGCCAGGGAATTTCAGGTGCTGTGACAGCTGTGTCCAGACAGCCCGGGAGATGCATACGTGAATGACTTCATAAAGACAATTTTACAGTGAACATCATACAAGTTAACGCGAATAAAAGCATTTGATTTTTACTGGGTGTTATGCACAAACAATGAATCATGGAACACTACATCAAAAACTAATGATGTAATGTATGGTGATTAACATAACAATAAAAAATTTTAAAAAACTAATGATGTAATGTATGGTGATTAACATAACAATAAAAAATTTTTAAAAACTAATGATGTAATGTATGGTGATTAACATAACAATAAAAAATTTAAAGTAAAAAAAAGCATTTGATTTTTGTTGAATAAAATGAAAAGAACAAGTGAAACTGAAGGATGTGCTGAATTTCTAGAAAATACGTCTTCGTGAAAACATCTAATGACCTAACGTTAAAGGGAAAAGAGAGGCTGCATTCTTTGTGTAGGTTTTTTGTACTCAAAGTTTTCATTTTAAGCAGGAACGGTTGGTTCTGACACACAGGACAAGCTGCCTCTGTTAGAGCAAGTTCACCTTCGGTCTTGATGCCAACACCGGCCTAGAGGTCCCCACTCCCAAGCTCTGCGCTGTGCTCCATGTGCGCCCCGCGCCGCTGCCCGCCTGCTCTTGCCCAACGCCCTCGCGGCGTCTCCCACGTGCCCGGGAGCGCTCACACGCAGGGTTGTCCACGGCCGCAGCACGCACCGGACAGCCTGGCTGCCATGAAATCCTGGGGTCACGGCTCCTTAACCCTCGGCACTTGACAGACTCCACTCTGGGGGGCACTGTAAGCCGCAGTGCCAGGCCACAGCCTGCTACTTCCTTCCTGGGTGCCTGAGGGGTTCTTCACCTCGGCAGCAAGTCTCGGTTTTCCAGGGAGCACATTCGGTGCCCCCTTCACTGCAGGAAAACGTAGTTCCATTATAGCCTTGAATACGTCTGCCAGCTTCTCTGCCTCAGGGACCCCAGTCCCCTCCTGCTGGATTAGCTCTGGCTGTCGTCCATGCTTCTCCCCACCACTCTGCAGCTTCGGGACAGCAGACCAGGGCTAGGACTAGGCTGAGCAAGCGAGGGGCTAAGGCCCGGGATCCGCTCACTCTTCTTTAACAGTAAGAAACTCCAAGTCACTTGCTATTCTCCCTGAACATGCATGCTACTCCACTCAACTCTGGCTTTTTACCTGAATGTGTTGTTATGCTTTGAAGTCTTTTATCACCCTAGCATATTTCCCTGTGATAAAAACATGTACATAAATTAAAATTCTAGTTTTAAAAAATATATTTTCTAGGAGTTGAAATCTTCATGTGAAAAATCAAGTTACTGTTGCAATTATTAGTAATGCAAACCCAACCAGAATAACAAACCTATTAGAAACTTTGATAATGATGAAATATCAAAAGCAACACTGTATGGACAATGCATGGAGAACAGTGTGACTGCCTGTTTTCCAGGAGGCTCGTGGGGCTGTGGGTCAGTACTATTCATTGCTAGACTCAGACATGGAGATCATACCTTTTTGCCAATTAGAAAAATTTTTTTTGAGGATTTTTTTTTTTTAAGATTTTATTCATTCGTCAGAGAGAGAGAGCACAAGCAAATGCTCGTGTGCTTTAAATGTCATTTCACCACAACTACAGCACTCTGAGCTGCAGCTTAGCGGGAACCACGCCACAGGGCCCACACGGCATGGGCAGTCCGTGTGTCAGGATGGCGCTCCTTCCCCACGGAAGGTCCAATTCCACTTTTCAGTTCAAATAAACATACTGAAACATGCTTCAAGGGATATTATGGAAACCACTATGAGATCAACTAAAGAAAGCATCAAATAATGTATCTTTTTAAGCTACTTCTAAAAGCAAGATTTAAATATGTACATCTAATGCTTATTATCTAGCTTTGTAAGATAAAAACAAGATCATTCTGAGCCATTTCTCATTCATTTCATAATGATTCAATGAAAGCTGTGCAGATCATACTCTATGTTACCTATGAAGCAAGAATGATCAAAGCCTTGTGTCCCTTCACTAGATCTGTGCTATAGCATGTATGCTATGCAAACGACGGGGAAATTAAGTAAAAATCATGTGAACAAAATCAGAAATAGAACCCACTTAATTTTGCCAAAGAGCAGCGTTACAGGTTTCCATAAAAAATAGTATACACTGCTGAAAAACTAGTCAGTAACCAGAATATAATTTTATTTTTGTTAAAAGGATGTAAGAGGCAGGAAGTAAAACGGAATATAACTAGAACACTTGGTGACACATCATAGGTTAAACTGATTCTAATTGCTATATTAGCACACACACTGCATCACATTCTCTTTTCAACCTGTCCCTTCATCCGGCACCTGACAATCTGGCAGTCCCGCAGACGCCACAGTTACACTGAGAAGAATCACTGCCCCTATAACCGCAAGTGCTCTAGCACCTTCTCCGGTTAACGACTCTTCCTGGCGGTGAAATGTTCATCGCTAAAAGGAACTGCTCAGGCTTACATACATGAACACTGCTGCTTTTGTGGGACTCTCCTTAAAAGCAGTTCCTGCTGGGGCGCCTGGGTGGCTCAGTCGTTCAGCATCTGTCTTCAGCTCAGGTCATGATCCCAGGGTCCTGGGATCAAGCCCCGCATCAGGCTCCCTGCTCGGCGGGAAGCCTGCTTCTCCCTCTGTCACTCCCCCTGCTTGTGTTCCCTCCCTCTGTGTCTCTATGAAATAAATAAATAAAATCTTTAAAAATAAATAAATAAAAGCAGTTCCTGCTAGGACAAGAGCAGAAGGGTGGGAAAGGTGAGGGCTGACACCCCCAGGGTCCCCCTATACTGTATCTCATTTCAGAACATCTCAACATGCCCTCCTAGGAAAACCGGTGCATGAGGAAGGCCAAGCTGGACGCAGAGCCCTGAGGCGGTCTTGATGCCTGTATGAATGAATCCATACAAAGCGCCTCCCTGAAGCCAGCACTCTGAAGTGTCCTGGGTCTGGGGCTCTGGAAGACTGCTTTTATACACGCCCCAGGGTGCTGCGCCACAGGGAGCTTGGTGGTGGGGAAGGACTCACTGTCATGAAGGAAAGGCGGAGAGGAGAGCCTGCAGAAGTCCTGGACCCAAATGCACGGTCTCAAAGATTACAAATGGAAGATGACAACGGGAAGGCTGATTCCTTTCATGGAAGGCCATGCTTGCCTCCCCTTCAAAGTCTTCTCGTCCGCCCAAGGTCCCAGAGACCAGGCTGAACGCTGCCCTGAGAAAGCTTCAAGGGAAGAAGAGGGAAACCTGAGCTGATGCACTGAGCGCCCTGCCCCTGGCCTCCAGACTCCCTGCTCAGGGGATAAAACACCTTGACCTGCTGGTGCCATTGGGGCAGGCTGCTGGGTCACATGACCCCAGACGGTACACTGTGCCTTCTGCTAGTGTGTCATCACCGTGTACAATGGCTGAAAATCACACCCTTCCTGAGTCAGCTATCAAGCCCACTAAGCCACGGATGCTGGAAAGCTTAAAGCCAACACACGGGCTCTACACGGGACCCCATGATGGCCATGCAGCCGTCCTCACTAGTAAAAGATGCCATGGCACTACATGTATGTGACCAACTTAACTCAAAGACCAATATCAAGAAACATAAAAAATTTCTTTCTCACAGTGGAAATCCAGAAAACCTTAGAGGGCAAGTCATCTTCACAGTGAACTGAATTTTGCTTCAATAATCTCAACATTTACCTGAAACACTGGATTGTGCTAGATAACCTGAAAGAGCAGGGAGAGGAAAGAAGGGTAAAGCCAGCCAGCAAGTCAGCTTCCGTGAAGGAGACCTAAAACACATTTGGGCATGGAATAGCCAAGTGAGCTGGAGTACGCCACTGCGCACCCTGAGTCCCCACAGACTCATCTGTGAACAGCGCTGCAGCATGACCTCACCTCACAGAGCCATGATCAGAATTAGGTGGGGCCAGCAGCACACAGCCTGGCTCAGGCAGAGCTCTGCCCACACACCATCTGAAGATGCCCCTATGCTGACAGCCACAGAATCCAATGCCAACCCAAGCACATGGCATCCTCGCCCTGGGAGGGCTCTGTGCTGAATATGGTCAGCTCTCGATCCTACATACCACTGACTCCGATGTGTCACTTGCCCCCCCGACCAGGTGCGTCAGGGGTCGGGGGACCTGATAACTTTGGGCTCATGCAAGCTTTCTC